TGTAATTTAGGACGTAGAATTTAAGAAACATGTGTGTAATTGTAAAGGAATTATTGCGTCTATTTGAGAATTATTTAGCAGATGTTTTATAAGGCAACTTCATCAAAGTAAAATTTAATTGATTTAGATAAACGATAGCGCATGTGAAAAGTTGTAGATAAAGAAGTGCGATGTAAATAAGTGCTCGCATTTAGTCGGCCCTTACCGAAGATGAAAAATTGTGATTGCGATGGTTTGCACTTAAAAAGGACTGGGCGGTCACGGGTCTTTTGACTTAGCGTTTCCTCACAATTCATGAATCATGGGACACTAATGAAAGGTCTAGAGATGAAAGAATTAATTTCTACCAACCTCATCGACCCCTTATCGTGATCGGTTATAACTCCCTATATCTCAGGAACGGTTTGTCGGAGGAAAGCACTCTCAAAGCCAACATGAATCGTCTGGACGAGAGATTGGTGAAGTCCAAGCGAATATCTCGAATACGAAGTGTAGGAAGAGGGTACTAATAAGGGCAAATGGGACGTCTGGACGAGACACATCTACTGGCGATGTCAAAACTTAATTATGAATAGGTATCTCGAACATCTTGGAGGAAACTACCTACAAAGGAAAAACAAAATTTTGGAGAATTTCTAATAGTAGGGGAGCTAGCACGAAATCCACTGAACGAGAATGATCAAAATTTTAACCGATGGAGTTCCATTTTGCCCTATCAGAGTATGCTAAAATCGATCGTCTGCCGCCTCAGGTCATACGACTTAAGGCGCTGCGGGTACTTCTTGTGGTACCAATTCTGAAAGGTTGTTTTTCGTGAAAATAAGTTATATACCAAATCAAAACGTTGATAATAGCTCTTAAAAAAATATTTAAAAAAATCGCGCGCATTTGATAACTCCATAAAAAAACAATTCTTAGTCGGTTTTTCACAAACTTTCTACGGATATAACTAGGTTACGGTTGGACGAATGAAGCTGATTTTTTTTACAGACTGATGATGGGTACTACTAATGACTTAACGGTGTTTCGATTTTAAATTTTTTCTCTAATTACAAGATTATCTTATTATCTTAACATTATAAGATATCTTATAATTAGAGAATAAATTTAAAAAAGAAACACTCTCATAGTCATTGGCTGTACCTATCATTAATCTGTAAAAAAAATCAGCTTCATTCATCCAACGGTAATCTAGTTACATCCGTAGAAAGTTCGTGAAAAACCGACTAAGAATTGTTTTTTTACGGAGTTATCAAATGTGCGCGATTTTTTTAAATATTTTTTTAAGAGCTATTATCAACGTTTTCATTTGGTGTATAACTTATTTTCTCGAAAAACAACCTTTCAGAATTGGTACCACAAGAAGTACCCGCAGCGCCTTAAGTCGTATGACCTGAGGCGGCAGACGATCGATTTTAGCATACTCTGATAGGGCAAAATGGAACTCCATCGGTTAAAATTTTGATCATTCTCGTTCAGTGGATTTCGTGCTAGCTCCCCTACTATAAGGGCTTGATTCTTCTTGCATTATACAGCGTATATTTTGAATTTATGCCTTTAAATGTTTATGTATAAATATCCCCCTCCATATTAATCATGTAATCATGTAACTTCGATAGTGTAGCATGCTATACCTAACCTATCTACTAATCTTCGGTTTTCAAAAAAAGCGCTTTATCTGCGATATACTGTATGCAGGACCACAGGGTACAGATGTGAATAGTATACATTTACCTAAAATCTTCATGAAACCTTCATTTTCATGCCTACTTTATGTCAGGAAAATGATAGTATCCGCATGACAGAGGCAGACCAGTCTACTTTTCCTGCCGCCTGTCGCGTTACCGGCCGCACCTGATGTCACTTTACCTGCTGCACCTGTCATATTGCTAAATGTCTATAATGACTCCTGTCGTCATTGACAGATTGGCATTAATCAAAAGTTCTATATGAAAATTGAAATTTTATGTTAAAATACGATTTCGGGTAAAATTTAATACCTACAAAACTCATCAGTAAAATGACATTACTTGACTCAGAAATTAAAGTACTGGGCCCCTTTCGGCCCCAAAGGGGCCTTGTACTTCAATATTTCCTCGCCAGTAATGTTTTCCTGACTTTTATGTAAGCATATGGTATGGTAGAATACAATAGTTTACGACCACGTATAGTTTATGTTGCATTTTACCCAACCCAAACAATGAATTCGTGCAGAAATTTACGAATCACGTGCGTTCTAAAATAAGATGCAAGCAAGCCCTCAATCACACTTGAAGTTGACATTAGGCGATTGTAACTAACATTTTACGAAAAGTCGGGTTACGGTAGGAGAAAATTTTAAGAAAGGTCGGAAACAATGTATATGACTACCTAACCAAAGTAACGGATCCTACCCTCACCCTCATTCGCAAAGCGTGCTGTGTAAGAAAACACAAAGAAATGATTATCTAAATCTACCTCGTCTCAGGCCCGTTTCGTGCGTAAGGAAAAATTTAATTAAAACATTCGCAATATCTTCAAGTCTCCCTTCTTTTTAATAAAACATAAAATACCACCCAAGCTCCTTAAGCTGCTTTCAGTTTATTGCCAAAAAATAAAACGCCTATGTTCACAGATTTGTAAATATAATTAACGCGTACCTACTTTGTAAAATCAGGTTTGGGCTTATCGTGACTATTCAAAATTGCTAGCCTTTTCGAATAATTTTTTTTCAGCGTGGGTATTTAAAAATAACACTTAATACGGGTATGAGCACAGTATACTTAAATTGCATTTACATTGTCACGCAAAATTGTTTGTTTTTACATTGGAATTGTTTATAGTTTCGTAGTTATATGTATATGGGTATGTAGTTTCAAGAAGAAAAGAACGGGGCCGCATCAAGTAACGATTGAATAAGAGTTATTTGTGTTTTACATATGGCGTTATACGGTTATCATTTCCAATGTCTCCGATGGGCGCATGAATTTTTTGCACTGAATATATAATTTAGTAACCAGTTTGTTGGTAATTTACCAATTTTTTCGGCTGGTATCGGAAAATTTCTGTTTCAATATACAGAGATTGTTTTAAAAGAATACATACCTATAAATTCCTGTGTAGCTTATTAACTGGACCACATCAAACCCATTAGAGAATTAATCAAAAAATGACATTCAATTGACAACTATAGTGTAGAAAAATCTCATACAACTGAATATCGAACGATCCTCGTGATCCAAGTGACTTCGCGCATGTATGGATCAGTACGCGAAATAGCAGAGTGCGACATCAACGAAACAATAAATCGAAAAAATCCTATAATCCGACCGGGCTCAATTGTGAATTCCTTTTTTGATTTTCATTTCGTTATTTTTTTGGCGCGTTTGACTACGTTATATTAATGTTAGAAATTTAGAAATTTTTGAAGCTATGGTTTTTGGGTAAACTCAGAAACATTTTTCTTCCTCATGGAAACAGTCTTTTTTTGGTTATTACTCACAAAATATGGCACGCAAAAGAACATCAGTTGTATCGTTAAGCACCTGAAACCTTGTTTTTCTAGAGACCCTGAACAAAATGTTTCTTTGATATTCAGTAGAAATTTTCATACTTCGGCCTGCCTATATCTTTAACATTATCCACTTCAGAGAAAGTATCTAAAGTAAGTAATAATACTTGTACAGAATGACCGATATTCTTTATATCTCAAACTGTTTCAAAAATGACCCAAGAAATAACAATTTTCATGAGAAAAAATAATCTTTATCTTTACTAAAAGAAATTGTGGGTTAAAAAAATATATGGTGTTTTACCCCCTTGAATAACATAATTATTTACAACCTAGTTTACAACCGTTTCCTTTGCAGGTTTTTCCCAAGGCCAATAGTAACGAAGCCAGAGATACCAAACGAAGTAACAAAAAAAAGATTATAATAACATTACATACTGGTTTATTTCCTTTATGAGTACACTGTATAAGATGTCGTGCGTAATACAATTAGGCTGTCCAAAAAACGAAACAGATCACAATAGAACTAACAAACCCGCAATTCAACAGACAAATGTCTTTAATTAATAAACTTTGTCAAAGGTATAAAAGCAGCCTGCTTTCTATTTACCTGTTGGAATGTGTAGGTATATTCTGACATAAGTAATCTTGTTGAAGGGGAAACATAAACGCAAAGTTCAAATGTTAACAATCCACACATAGAGTGTAAATGTGGTATTTAATTTTTAAATAAATATTAACGAGGCACGTGAGATTTTCAATTCAAGTTTTCGTCTATTATAATTCCTAAAAATGTTGTCTCATTAACAATGCAGTTTGTATTAAGAGTAAATTGTTCAGTTCAATTGTAATTGTTATTTAAATTTACTAAAGTTTGACCGCATTTGGTTCATAATTGACCTCTGCGGAACAGGGGCGGACTGGGTACTTACGGGCCAGGTGGAATTGCAAAGGTTACGGGCCATTAAAGTATTAGTGTAATGAAGATTTAGGGGGGAGCTCTGCGGTGCACACAAAAACATTTTTTGCTTAATTTTAAAGTATTCCTTTCTCGAAAATCAATTAGAATATAGTTTTTTTTTAATTGCAGCTGATAATTAAAAATAACAAAATATACATAATCCAAACGAGGCGCGTCGCCTATAATTGTGTTCCAGCACTTTCAAAATACGACAAAAAATCATAAATTCATTGGAAAACACTTAAATAAAAACAGAATTTTTTAATGAACAACATATAACATCAACCCCAATGAGAGAAACGTGTTAATAATTTTTAATAGTGCAAGAAACTAAATACAGCACATACTTATTATACATTTCCAATGGGCCATTATGATCCACAGGCCAGGTGGCAATCGCCACCCGCCCCCCCGGGCCAGTCCGCCCCTGCTGCGGAACATCCACATTAACTGAAATCAGTTTTTTCATTACGTGAGTATAACTATAAAAACCTTTATTCTAACTAAAACAGCTGAAAATAATTACTTTAATAAAACAAAATTACTTACATTACAAGGAAAATTCCTCTCATGTATTCTTGCATGTCATCTGCTAAATTTACGATACAGATTCCAACTCCATTTAGAGTATTTAGGTGTTTCTGAAACAAATACAACGTGTTTATGTAACTTTAAAGTTCACACTATCATTCGTCATTGCCAGATTTAGAACTGTTTGTCTGTATGCCACCTTTATACAATAAATTCTGAAATGTAAATAATTTGAACAATGTATAGCCCACTCAATAAAAACTAGGGACCTGGACCCAAATGAAAGATCGCATTTCTTTCGGTTCATAACGGTTCTTTTCGTTTTTGGTCTTTAGAAAGTATGCCATTCAAAAAATTCATTACAACAAGGTGATTTGTTAATTAATAGATGTGAAAAAGAAGTAAAAACCATGAATACCAAAACGTGAGGTACGCCGTCAGTGTAGCTAAGTTACAACGACAAGGGGAATAAAGGAGGAAGAAAGAAATATGTACCTATTTACACTTAATTTATTAATTAAAAAAATAAATAAATAAAATAAAAATTCTAATAACCTGTTAAAATCCGTAAAAAACCGAAAAAAAATAATAAGGGTTCCCGTTCTCAATAAGTTTCCATTTCTGAAGGAATAACGGTTTCGGTCCGGTTTTCGGTTCTTTTTCGGTTCGGTCCCGGTCTCTGATAAAAACCCGAGTCAATGTAAAAATGCGGGAAGGGAAGAGGAGCGTTTTCGTTTAGAAGTGTGCTGGGAATGTTTGGATACCATCACACTCGTCGGTTTCAGTGCGGGAGGGGTTGGAAAGATCACATTTTAAATTTATCGATTATTACACGAAAAGCGCGATTTATATAAAAACAAGAAAAAAGGTTTTAGTCCTATGGCGAGTGACTTTAGCGCTTTTTCCTTGCATTGCCCAGTAAAAGGGGCTGTGAAACTACTTTCATCAACCGATTCACTTGCTAAACACGATGCAGCCACCATTCAACAACTTCAAGATAAACATCCAGCTCCATCACGAAATCTTACTTTTCCTATGCCACCTTCCTCAGCTGAAACGTGCCTGATAGTGTCCGAAGAAGACGTTTCTAAAGCTATTAGATCATTTCCAAATGGATCAGCATCAGGAATTGATGGTTTAGCACCACAGGTTTTAAAGGATTTGATATCTTACGGAAATGGCGAATCCGGAAGGAAATTATTGTGTACTATAACAGAGCTATGCAATTTAATATTACGAGGAGATGTCAATGAATATATTCTGCCAATTCTCCACGGTGCCTCTTTGTGCGCGTTAAATAAGAAAGGTGGAGGAATTCGTCCAATAGCTGTAGGAAATACACTTCGTCGTCTGTCAGCCAAGCTCGCATGTAAAGCAGTTCAGCAAAGAATTGGAGAATACTTTCGGCCTACACAGTTGGGGTTTGGCACAAAAGGAGGTTGCGAAGCTGCCGTTCACACTGTAAGAACGTTTCTAAAATCAAATCAACATACAAACAAAGTGCTTTTGAAAATTGATTTTAAGAACGCATTTAATTCGGTAGAACGCGACACAATGTTAGCTGCTATACAAGCTAAGACTTCGGAGCTATATCATTACCTCTGGCAGTGCTACGCTACTCCATCAAAACTATTTTTTGGGCCTGAAGTAATTAACAGTCAAGTTGGCTGTCAACAGGGTGATCCAATAGGACCCATGGCTTTTTCATTATCGATTCATCCCATTATAAACTCACTAATTTCAGAACTTAATGTTTGGTATCTTGATGATGGGACCTTAGCCGGAGATTCAGCATCAGTTCTTTCTGACTTTGCCCAGATAATTCATGAATCTAGAAAGATAGGACTTGAAATCAATCCTTCAAAATGTGAATTACATTTTATGTCTGATACCGACGAAGAAGTTTTAAAGAGGTTTCAATTATTATCTCCAGGAATCCGAAGTATCACGAAAGACAATCTTACACTATTAGGAGCCCCATTGACATCGAAAGCAGCAATGTGCTGTTTAAACACTAAACTAGAGGAAATGAAGATTTTGTTTGCCCGGTTACCTAGCTTGAATAGCTATTATATTGCTTTCTATCTACTGAGACACTGCTTTGCTATACCAAGATTAACATATCTTCTACGCACTACCCCGACGTGGAATTTTGAGGAAATCCTGCACTCTTTTGATACGGAAATCAGATAAACTCTAGAAACTTTACTAAACACAACTTTATCAGAGCAAAAATGGATTTTAGCATCCCTACCTGTCAATGTCGGTGGATTAGGAGTGAGGAAAGCAAGTGATTTAGCAATACCAGCTTTTTTGGCTTCAGTAAATAGCGTTTACGACCTTATTTGTGACATGTTACATAGATCTATAACAGTTAAGGTTGATATTCCTTTTTACGATGAAGCGCTGAACTTCTGGAAAACATTACAGCAAAGTTCCAATAGTTTTAATAAAGAAGAACTAAAAATACAATCTATACCTTCCGTTCAAAGAAATTGGGACTTGATCAACGTTGAACGTGTAGTAAGATCTATGACACTGACAAGTGAACTCGATATCGCGAGATATAAAGCTTCGGTGGTTCCAGAATCTAACGCATGGTTAAATACACTTCCCTCTAAAACCATTGGATTGTTATTGGACAACAATACGTTTCGTATTTCCATCAGTTTACGCCTTGGAACAAACATTTGCGTTCCTCATACTTGCATTGTGGTACGCAAGTAGACAGCAGTGGAATACACGGACTATCTTGCTCGATGAGCGCAGGTCGACATTCTCGACACTCATCTTTGAATGAAATAAACATCGTTCACTTGCATCGGCAAAATACCCCGCTGTGTTGGAACCTGTAGGCCTAAGACGTGACGACAATAAACGTCCTGATGGAATGACCCTTGTGCCTTGGACCAAAGGACAAATGCTAGTTTTGGGATGCCACATGCACCGACACTCTAGCACCATCCCATGTTAATTTATCAAGTAAAACGGGTGGTGCAGTAGCTGAATCTGCGGCAGGTATAAAAATAAGGAAAATATTGTTCAATTATAGAACAGAACCATATTTTTATACCTTTCGCAGTAGAGACTTTGGGACCTTGGTGCAGAGAGGCTCGTAATTTTGTGGAGTGTTTAGGAAAACGTATTACTAGTATTACTGGAGAACCTCGAGCTACTAGTTATTTAAAACAAAAAATCAGTATTGCTATACAACGTGGCAATGCGGCAAGTATAATGGGGACGCTTCCAACTGCGATCCCTATGGAAGAAATTTATTTGTTATGAATATTTAAAAATTTTTAACTTTGTAATTAATAAACAAGTGTATATTTTATCATGAAAAAAAAAAAAAAAACTTCACAAAAGGCCATAGCTATGTGACCTATATTTTTCTTTACTACAAGCGTCTATGGTTAAAATTTGAAAGAGAGAGATCGTCATAGGAAAAAAGTTAGCATTTTCCAATCTGCGCATGTGCGCATTTGATTGTTACTTTGTGCGATGTGTCTTTGCTAATGGCCTTTTTAATTTTCGATTTTCACTACATGTGATACGTTTTTCTTTACTAGAAGCATCTACGATTAAAATTTCAAAGAAATATTTTCATAAATAAGGAAATCTGCACTCCGCAGAATGCGCATTAACTGCGCATGTGTACATCTAATGTTTACAATATGAGATCTTTACCTTTAACAGAAACATCGGTGATTAAAATTTCAAAGAAGTATCTCCGTAAATAAAAAAGTTGGCATTGCGCAGTCTGCGCGTGCGCACATCTGATGTTTAAATATGAGATATTTTATTAGAAGCATCTGTGGTTCAGCAATTCAACAATCGCCTCGCAAAGAAGCCCCGAACCGCGTGCAAACGTTGATACTACAAAAGTTCGACATAAGCCACCGGCGTTCGATGGAAAATCATCGTGGTCGACTTACTTGAAACAGTTAGGCTGCTGCGGCTACAAATAAATGTACAGAGGAAAAGAAGGCAACTTTTCTGATAGTTGCGTACGATTCCAGAACACTACCAACAAGATTTTGAGCAAATTGTATCACCTTTAGAGATGGATGGAACTTCCATCAAACACGATTAAATTTGCTTATATGTATAGCAAACCGAAACTTTCTAAAAAAAATCACGGAACAATCTCGAAGTTGACATATCACATTTCATAGAAAGAATGCGTCGCATGCGCTTTCGTTCCTTATCTCCGATGACTATTTTATCGACTAGATGACACTTCAATGGCGGATGGTGGCGCCCCGATAACTCACTGGATTTCTAGAATATACGCTATCACATATTGTTAGAGTGTTTCATTCAGCATAATAACAATTCGGATGCTCCAGCTGAAGGCTTTTTCAATCTACATACAGGAGACGTCAACCTCATAAATCGATTTTTATGAGATTTAAGGGAAAATTTGAACAATGATGGACCATTAAAGAAGCCGAAGCCCAAAAACTATGATTCTAGATTCGGAAGAAGTAAAAGTGTTGGTGTAATTGGAGTCGTAGTGGCACATCACACTATATCACGTCGCCAATTCGAAGCTGAATCCAGAATATCTAGGACTAGAGCTTTGATTCTATTGGAAAAAAACATAAATTCTGACCTTACACCGTACGGAATTAACAACTGTTGACTGATTTTGAGCGAAGACCGGAACTCTCATTGGTATCTTTGACAAATTCAACGAGACTCATCTTCTATAGGAACCTTGTTTGGACAGCTGAGGCTCATATTAGTAGTGCTGGGATTTGTAACAATCAGAAGGAGCACTGGTAGTCAGAAGAACCGTCTATAGTCAAATTCAGAGACGATTTAGGTTTAGTGTTTCGGAATTGCGTATCTTATAAAATCTTCCAAGAGAAACTCCACCCACAAAGATACCATGATATCATAAATCGGCTCGTCGTTGAGGTCTTTCTAGATGATCTTCCATTAGTAGAGAGAAATAGTATAGTTAAGTGCCCATTTTCAAGAATATTGGATAGGTAGGTATCAATGGACTAGTAAGGTGACCACCTGACTTAACCCCGCTGGATTTCTTTTACTAGGATATTTTATATAAGAACAATAATAACACTCTTAACAAACTGGGGGACAA